TGGCTAATATTCCACTGTATTTTATTGTTCTTTGAGTGCTTTAATCTTTTGACCTTTTCTTCTTAAATGTTACCAATATATTCAGTTATATATCTTATTAATTCTTAAAGGACAATTAACTGTTTTTTTAAAAAGCAAAACTATTCTTACACCAAAGGAAAACTTTAAATTCTGATTCTAAAACCAAGTCTTATTATAAAATTGGGAAATAGGCAGGGAGGAAAAGCTGTTGTTTAAAAGTTACAGAGCAAATCACAGTGTTATCATTAAAATTTCTGTAGTAGTATAAAAAAAATCCTTACATTCATTTGCAGTTCTTTTACTGACTTCCTAATTTTAGAACAGAAGGGGGATATCCATAAATATTGGTATTACCTTAATAAATCTATCTCTTCCCTCTCCTGTTCCATCCCTAAATGTCTTCCATGCTCAGCAGCAGCAGCAGCAGAAATAATAGGACATAGACCCCAGGTTTTCCTGGTGAGTCAAATAGGGTGTTTCTTTTAAAACTATAATGAACATGTTTGCAGTCAAGTTGTTTCATGAGCCCAGTAGGCCATATGAACATATACTAGCATGTAAGGATCCCATGTACATTAATTATTCTCATTTTTAAATGTAAGTAGACTAATAAATTCCACAATGAAATTTCAAAAGTTTTGTTTTGTAAGTAAAAATTATTAGTCACTGATGTTATAGATCTTCTTTTAATAGCACTATCCTGAGAGCAAAAAAAGTTAATTTTTTAATTTTCAAAATGTTAAACACAATGCTAAACAAATCCTGGACTATTAATAAAAATTAATGATGCATTATTAGATAATGGGCTTGGATAATAACTGATGACCAAATGTGTTTCTTCCACAAAAGTATATAGATTGTATGTATACACATATATACATATATAAATTATATGCATACATACATATATTACATATATACACATATACATTATTTATATATACACACTTTCTTAGAATTTAGTTTTACTTTGAGAAGCTAGTCAAAACTGGAATTATTGTCAATCTTAATATATAGAGAACATTATCAACCTTCATGGCATAGCTTGATAGCCCAAACATGTTTTTTTTTAAAACATATAGATTAGAAGGATGAAAATTCTCCTTACATATAGTAAGTAAAGACTGTTTTGTTGTTGTTGTTGTTATATATCTTCTATAGATAATTTGTAAAGTAAGTTTTTACTTCCTTAGTAGTCATTTTGGAAGGCAAACCTAAAGACATCTGAAATTCACTTTGTGTTAGGTAATAGTTTTGCAACCTGTTTCCCAAAGTCTCTGATACAGTCAGAGATAGAAAGATGGTAGCACATCAAAAGATAAAGGATCTTGGAATATTAAGACTTTAACTTCCTCTGTCAGCTGATTTCAGAAAGATGGTTTAGAAAAAGAGGTGCGATTTAGTTTATAACATTGCTTTATAAATGTCTGCCAATAACGGCAGTACAATATTTTCAAACAAATTTATATATAACTCCCATATGTAGGAGTGTGTTTCCTGGATTTATGCTATATTTAACTATAAAGTAATAAATTGGTGCCAAAAATTCTTTGTATCTTTCCCAGAGGTAGTGCTTGGATAGTATTAAAATATAGAATTAAAAGACTAGGAAAGACATTAGGAGGGCATACTAACCAACTTTGATATCATGCTTCAACATGCCCTATTGTTATAAAATAAATTGCTGGCCCCAGCCCTATACTTTGACTAAAATTTATTCTAAATATGTATAGACTTAAAAGAGGAAAAGGGCAAGATTTTACCCAAAGGATGGATATAATAGTCATAATTGGTACTGTTTCAACTCTATTCAGTGTTTTTATTCCTGTGCATAAATTCCTAAAAATGTTACCCGCTTTTGCCCTTTTATGTTGAGTACCACTTTCTGATTAGCAACTACAGTTATTGCTATTTGTCAGACCTGCTCTGTGTTTCTGTCTCTTTGTTTATGCAATACATAAATTTGCTAATATTGTCTGCATTCTCCTGGTTCTTCTCAGAAACCAAGTGCCATCCAAGATGACTTGTTTTATTTCACACTGTCATTATTTTTACTTCTCCTTTCCATGTGACATAACCCTTCTTCAGTTTCTGTATAGTTTCAAGGTTATCTTGATGTTACCTACTTTCTGACCTGTCAGGATCTGCAAATATAAAATAGCAGGCATCAATTTCAAACCAGTAAACTACAGATTAAGGATTTCTAGTTTTATCATTCTTTTTAGGCTGCTGCTTAAGACAGTACCAACTAATATAATGTCAAGCATGATTATATTTAAGTGAATGAAGATACATAGTAACAGGCCAAATAGTCTTTAAGACATTTTACTTAGGATAGTGAGTGGTGATATCATATTCACATCTGATTTATTTTTAAAACGTAATTAAAATTTTCCATCTATTGATTTTGTCACTTTTCCTCATTTTGATACGTATTTCTTAGTTACAAGAAGCCAATACTTGATTATTTACCAATATTTTGGTGCATAATTGCCTTAGGCCAGTATGTTAACCTCAGTTTTGCATTTCTATCAAGGTGTGTGCCCACAGGATATTGTTACTTAGTATTTCTCTAAAGGTGAACATCTTGGTATATTTCTTTCCTTTGGTAAACAGGAGTGTGAGAAGCTGCCTCTCTGTCCTTAGGGACTAAAGCCCTTCCCTGCTTCCTCTCTTCAGCCCTTTTACGTATTGGTTTTTGTTCCTCGTCAGACAAAATTTGGGGGCCCTAGAACCTCACATTTCTTTGGGATATACCTACAAGATTCTAGTATGCCCTTACACCTAAAGAGAGAATTTCTAATAAGAAAGCCCCTTGATTAGATTCTTACTTTTTCTTCATTTCCTCCCTTTGTGGAATAGAGAAGATAAAATAAATTTGTGATAGTTTTTCTTTTCTGGGGAAAATAACACTTGTCAGAAGATAGTAGTCTTTGTGTTATTATTTTGATTTGTAAGGAAAGTCAAGTTTCTGCTCCAAAGTATAAAGCCTTCAAAGTAAATGTCTCAAAGTTTTTAGCATTTATTTCTTCCCATTAGTTACCATCAACAAGCTTTTTGTCATCTTTGTCTTTGATAGGTTTCAGTGCTTTAAAAAGTTTTCCCTTTGGAAAATTCCAAGCTAAAAATCAAGCTATTCTTCCCGTCCCATGAATTCCCTAAGCCTACCAGTTGTCCTTTTTCAATCTGGAAAGTATATCTCCTTTCCAATTTGTTTTCCAAGTACCATACATATCCTTGTTGTTTTAATCAATTAAAAAACAAAAATATCCCTGAGTATACTGACAATGAGAAAGACTTCTCTTTATCTGGCTTCCCCTCTTCTGGCTATTAGCATTCTGACGTCCTCTATTTTCTTATTTTGGATAGAATTTCTCCAGATTTTTAGAGCCCTTGAGTCTTTCCATATCCACCCAATTCAGTTAACTTTGACTGAAAATGATAGGCTTAAGGATGTTGACTATGTAGCCAGTACTTAAGTGCTGTCATCTCTGCTTTCATTTTCAAATACGGCTCTAAACTGAAGAGAGAAAAAAAGAAATGCAATCAAGCACACTTAATTTTGGAGGAGTTTTGCCCAATTCCAAGCATATTACCAGCGATACTTAAATTCATAGTGTATTCTCACAAAAGATGTCTCTGTTGGACTAAGTATATAATCTAATAATACTAACTTGAATTCTAGATTTTGGGAATAAAAGCAAAAGAGAGAAAAGGATCTTTCTGTGCCTCAGCTTCACTTAAGAATAGTGTTAAAGAGCATGCCTACTAACCCAAATACTTAATCCAATTTGGTAGAATTTCCATCAGCATAATGGGAAAGATATTTTTAGTTTAAGGAATCCAACTTAAAAGCAGCTGATTCATACTTAAGAGAGTGTCATTCTTGGTTTTCACAGCTTCTGTCCTTCCCTTTCTGAACCCATTGGTACTCTTTCAAAGCTCCATGTCATTCGCACTGGTTCGAATAATAACAGAGTGAGCATTTTGGAAGAATGGAAAAAAGAGAACCAGAATAGCTTTTGCTTGAACATGGAATATTATATCCTATTAATCCTCAATTTCTTTTGCTTTATACAAGTATTACAAATGGAAATTTTAAAAGATGATGATTAAGCAAATAGTTACCTTTTTAATTTCTAAAAATCAGATGCAACTAGAAAGGATATATTAGTTAATACACATCTTTTTTTACATCTTTCTCTTATCTTGATTTCAAAAAGCTATTCTGTTTCCTCAAAAGGTTTCATAGGTACAACCCTAGGTAATAATGAATTGAGACATTTTGTGTTGTTCTTTAGCAGATTTGTATTTTTTGAAGTTAAAAACTTCTTATAAAGATTCTAACTCTGATTTAAAATATAAACCTAACACTATACAATTCACTCAGTCTGTTTGCTTGCTTCTTGAAAATAACTTTTTAACCCATTGTCACCTTTGATTAAATTTTGCATAGCCATTACAGAGAATTCAGCTTTCCTTACTTTCTTCTAAATATTGAATTATTTGGGAAAATATCCAAAATTTATTCTAAAGATCATTTCTTCATAGAAATCATCTAGTTCATCTACTCTGTTAAACATCCTTCAAACCAAACATCTTCATACACTCTAGGTTAAGAATATAGTTTTTACTAACATGATTTAATCTCAGATCATGCAGTTCCAAAAGAATCTTGTATCGTTAATAAAGTACAATTTGTTCAATTATAGTAAGACAAGCTTGTATTAGAATATGTCTGAATAGGGTTGTGTGTAAGAATGTAACTACATCTTTTCTCAGAGGTAATTCCATTTTCAGAGACTTGCCAAGTTCCAGTATAAATATGAGCTTAACCTTCTCTGAAATACGAGTATTTGGATCCAAAGTTAGGAATCCTTGTTCTCCAATACATATTTCTTGAATCTCACTTCCACCTTCACTGATGAACAGCAGACAGACTAGATATGATTTTCTTTATAGAAATCAAGGCTACTTACCTATAGACAAATTCCTTTCATGTTTATCAATCATAGCAAGTTCTGCTTTACTTCTGCTCCTTGTAGTAGTCAGAAAGTTCTTTACTTTGCTGATCTGTGCTCCCAAGTTCTTGTATGCAGAAATGATACATTTACCATTCAAATCAGGACACTTGAGAGTGAAAGGAGTCACCAAAAATAATTAAAATTACTTTTGAAATATGAACTATTGAACAACAAAGAAGTTTATCATATTAACAAACCTGTAAAATCATTCTGTTCAAAGACTATTTTTCAAAAATGAAACGCTAATAATAATACAATAGGCAGAAACCTACACTGTCACAGGGAAATTGGAATGTAGGTTACCCTATTAATATATTACAGAATGAATGTAACATTATACTGGGATCCAAAAATACAGTCTGAAAGGTATTATGCCATAAGAGATAGGCCTGAACTCTTCTATTACTTTAACCCTGGAAACTTTGTGGTTTCTGGTTTAGCCACTGATACAGCTATATAAATAGAATTGTGTTTAGGAATAAAACTGTTTCCCTGTTATAAACATGAAATCATAGAATCATATAACTTAAGAACTAGAGCCTATAACTGTAAATAATATTAAGATATTAGTTTTAAAATATTGATAACCCTGTGTAACTAAATTTGCTATGTACTTACTAGGTAGTTCTAAAGAGAAGTTTTGGTTAAGTTATTGAAGATTGTTTAAAGTCCATGATAATATTCCTTATAAAAGCTATATTAACTTTGTTGATATTGATGACAATCTATTATAAAAATCATACTTAGAATCACATTTTTGCTTACTATATTATTCCATGGCCAGAATAACACCTTATATTTATATAGCACCTTAAAATTTATGATAACTTCACATACATTATCATTTTATCCACTTAATATTTTTGTGAGATAATCAGGCAACTTTTTATAAGAGAAATGAGACTTAGAAAAGTTAAGAGAATTGCCCAAGATGATATAAATATTAAGTGGTAGGACCCAAAACTTCTAATTAATAATAAATTGTCACCTGTGAGGAGGCCAGTGATTCTGGGTAGTGGGGAGGGTGAGAGGGGAAGATCCTTAAAAAACACAATACTTTCAGAAATAATTTTTGTCTCATCCATGAGTTATCTTTTGTTGGATCACTAAAATTAAATCTTAGACAAATTAAATCTTAGACACAAATAAAATGTCTATCCTAATCCCTTAATCATCTGAGTTTGGATCAGAAATTATTTTAATTCTAAAATAAACAAATTGTGATAAACATGAAACTGTTTAATCATGCTTTTATCAAGTAACCTAAGTATGAACAGTTTCCTGACCAAAATAGTGGAAATAGAATTATTCTAGAATTTAGTTTAGATTAGTAATCAAAAATTTTCTTTAAAAGTGTTATAAAACTCATTATTCTGGGAAATATAAGAAGGAAGACAAGTTAAGAAAGGCCTTCTAAATTATCCAGAAAAACATTAATCCCTCTGATAGCAAAAGATAGCGATAGGTGGAGTCATCTACTCTTTATATTTGGGGAACATGGCACATTTCCACATTTTTGAAAGCATAAAGCCCACCAAGAAGAACAAATGAAGCTTTGGTTGCTTTTCTTCTTTCTTTCCATTCTTCTTGCTAATAACTGCAATATAGGTATTTATCAGTCTGTATAAACCCTCCATGAAGAGTTTGCTATTTGGGGAAAGGGTTATTGTAATTTAGGGTGTTTTTTTAAACATCCTAATGACAAGTACCAAACTCATGCCACTTTTTATACTGACAAAATGCATGTGGTTTTAAGATAAGTGGGGATCATTAACAGAATTGCCTACTGAAGTCTCCTTAGCTCAAAAATTGCAACAGTGCCTAAGGTTAAAGATAGCCTGATTTCATTGGAGTGAATTTTCTCACAGCACTCATTTTGATAATTATCTTTATTTTACAATAATTCATAAATGTTTCTTTTCTGGTTAGAAGTTTTGTAACTTCACAAAGTATCATGAAGTGATATGAATAAGCTCTGTGTAATTGCACTATTTAAAACATTTTTAACCATAGAAGCATCAAAGTCTCATGGTCCATAAAAAATTACCCATTGTTTTTATTAATTATTCCTGATAGTTACCTATTCTGGCATTGGCAAGTTGTTAAATAGGCATGCTCAGAGTCTTGGTAGATCAACAGAGTGCCAAATGTTCCCAAGTCATGGAAGGTACAATGGTACGTTATCAAACATCCCTCTTTAGAGAAATTTTGCTTTTTATCTTAGACATTTTAGTTAATTTCCCTTAATTTTGGTTGCTAGTTTTTAGAACTACTGGAACACTTGGTAGTAGATTTCTGTTGTCATTTTCAGGCTGGGTAATTGATTTGGCCTACATACTTCTTTCAAGTTCTATTCAACTTTGTGAAATAAACTCAGGCTCCATGATGCTTGCATTTTTCTTGAACAACAACATTCAAACTCAAATAATGAATGTTGGCAGGGCAAATGATGAGATTTTCAGGCAAGAGAATCTGGCTAAACACTGGTGCTCTGAAGTAGGCATTAGTCATTATAGATGCCTTTGCTGAAATTTTCCTATTTGAGTGTCTTGAGCAAGGCATTATCTCCAGTAATCTTTATCCTCAGCAGTGTGTTGAATAAAAATCACTTATTGGAACAGAGTCTGTTCATTGGATGTTTTACTTAACACTAGGATAAAATATTACTCTGTTCACGTGAAAGTTTATTAATAATTCCCTGATTTTCTCTGGATAGTTGCTTTCTCAACCATAGGATCTGACTCTAATTTTGTATATCACTAAGTATATAAATCTTTTTAACAAATCTTTATCAAAGATTATAACCTAATAATTGAGAAATAGATATGGCTATTTTTAGTGAGTCTTTTTATAGCCCTAGAATGCCTGCCTATCCAGCAGCAGGTTATAAGGTAACCTACTCTTCCTAATAGGATCTCCTAAAGCATTCCTTGTCTCCTCAAAATCCAGGCCCAATTAACGTTATTCTTAAAATCCTTCCCTTAAGTAATTATAAAATAAGAGCCATTTAAAATGCATTAAAACCCTGATTTTCTTTAAATCTCTTAATAGGAACCAAGGTTGCATTCTGTGAGAAGACGCTTTTCTCAATCTTCATCCGTAGATCTGAAACCTCGATATTCTCGAAGCCCACACTTCCTTCCTAGAAAAGACCTCAGAGCAGAGGGTGCAATTCTTATTCCACCTTCCTCTGTTGATTCTGTTAAGTAGAATCTGGGATAACTATTTTATCCAATAATACAAAACAACTAGCCCTATGTGTGGTCTGGTAACAAATATGAGGGTTTTGGATGTGGTTAAGGTTGAATATTTTTGCTTTTTTAAGGGAATTAAATCTTAGTAGGCAGAACATTGGAGGTGTAGGATAAAATTGTGGTTTCCTTTACTACTTCACACACACTAAGTAACAAATAGAACAAAGGATATCTGTAAAACAAATATCTTGGTAAAGTTTGAAAAATTCAGTTGTCATCTATTTCATCAACATGATAATGTAAAAAACAACCACTTAAAAACATCTTTAGTGTTTGCATTTTTCAGTTTTATTCCAAATTTTTCATATATGTAGACATAGCCATGGCATATACAGAATATACATAGCAACAGGCCATTTGTTGTAATGTAGAAAATTTTTAAAAACATAATATATAAAAGATTCTAGCTTCTACATCATTTTGGTTTCACTGTATTTAGGTTAATGTATATTTACCCATATTAAATGTTTTTTATAAACTGTAGGTTTACATTAGAAATTTTGACAGATATTAATACATTTAAAAATAATTTGTATATATAATATATGGAAATCTGTCATATTATGACCATTTATTTTATACAAATTACTATGCACAAAGTTCACACTATTCTTAAGTATACTTAAAGATATCTCCGTATCTATTTGTGGCCCTCTTTTGTCATTCATGCAAGAAGTATAGGGTTCTTATAGCATCTTAGCGAGTATAAGCATTCACTGCATACATCATGTCAGGTTCAACACATATTTCTCCCCTTAACACAGTGACATTGTCAGTATTCCTTTTTATCTTCCATTCAGGTCTTAGTTTGTGAGATTATTTTATTCAGGTTAAATCCAACTATTTGTGAGAACAGTTTTCAATTAAAATAATACATTTAATATCCTAATGTCTATGCAAAAGGAAAAATGAAAAACTCAGCAACAATCCTATGTTTACCAATAGATTTTTATGCCTGTGCCCTAGCTATGTGTCTGTCTTTAGAGAATGACTTGTTTAAAACTTTTGAGTTCAGACTTACCTACCTGCACATATTGGATGTTTTAAAAACATCTACCTCTGCAAACATATCAATGATGAGTTTTGATAACTTGGTTGGATTTGGCTAATGCCCTTCTCACTACTCTCCATGTTAAGCAATAAGTTTTCACCATTTTTCTTTGTTTTTCTGTCTGAGATCAGGTTGACTTTCAAATTTTTACACTTAGGTACACACAGTTATACATTTATACTGGTTTTTGTGCCCCAGAACTGATAGCTCCACTTTTAGATGGTCTCCATGAATTATGGAAAAAGGAAGTGCTATATACTCTCCTTAGGCTAGAAAACTAATTTAATGACATCAGTTACATCCAAAAATGTTTTATTAAAAATTTGTTATGAATTAACTACTTTCTAGAGGTTGACTTAATGTGGACATTTTAATAAGAAAAAACTTTATAGTTTGAAGACTGATTACTATTTTTTATACTAAGTCAGACAGTGTTATAATGAATGTCAAAAATATTTCCTTTATATTTAGCAAAAAATACTCCTTCCAAATCCTAAAATGGTGTGAAAATCCAACCATCAGCTTTTATACAATTAACTATACATATTTTCAATACTTCATTTTATTTTAGTACTTACAACTTTCTTCTATAATACCAAAATAGGCTTCTTACATGTTGTAACTTGATTTATTTAAATGCATTCCAGTAATGAGTTATAAATAAAACTAAACTCAGAAATAAAAA